TGAAAAAGATGACTTATGATGTTTACCAAGTACACAGTGACTACAGAAAGACATATTAGACACAGTCTTTTCCAAATACACCTTTATCATTTAGCAGTTTAAGTCCTTTAATACTTATGCGAGCTATTCTATTGTGCAACTTGTGTGTGTCATTAGTGTTGGTCAAATTTATAGAAGAAGTTGAATTTTTAACAATTGCAGCAGTGGTCAGATAAATACCGTTTCTTTTAGTATCTTTACATGTGACAAGAGCACCCTTAATCATTTTAAGCATGTTGTTTCCAATTTTACCAGTAAAATCATCAGTTTCTAATGCTTCTACTAAAATAAGATTTCTAGCTATTTCAAGAATATATCTAACTCCATGTAATTTAACCACATAACCAGTGTTAAATTTTAACGTGATATCATCAATGCCAGCAATTTTATATGCATGATTATTGTACAAAATAGCATGAGCACTTTCAGATTCTTGCATATTGTCAAACCAGTCTTTATGTGATGAAACATGAAATGATGCACCAGAATCAAGTATCCATTCATTTAAATGTGATTTCACAATCAAATTTACTTCAATAGGTTCAGAGTTCAATAACACATAAACTTCACAAAATTCATCAAAAGAAGTAATAACATTTGCCTTATCATGAACATTTTCCTTTTGTTTGTTTTTCTTAACATAATAATCTTTAATAAAGTGTCTAGTTTTATCGCAACCATAGCATTTTCTACCTTTAGTTTTATTTCTTGACCTAGATAAACTTCTACTTTTCTTTTTACTACCAGACACGTATCCACTTTGGTTATCATGGGTTCTTGACTGAGACCTACGTTTCATAATATAAACCTCACCACTTCTTCTCTCGACTCTCTCAACTCGCATTTCCATTTCTTTACTTTTTAACGAGTCTATGACAATTTCAGTTGTCAACGTATCTCTCCCATATTCAATAGCATTTTTAACATCTCTATAAGTTTCAGGGATAGCATTTAACAAAATTATTGCCTTATACTCTTCAAATACTTTTTCACCACAGTTAGTGATATCTTGCACGAGTTTATTAAAGATATCCAAATTATCATCCAAATCTCTTGAAGAATCGATTTTGAAGCTAAAAAAGCTTTCAAATAGAAAAAGTTTGTTTGGTGTTGACTTAGATACATAAAGTTCCTCCAATTTTTTCCAAAGTTCTTGAGTTTGTTTTAATTTACCAATTTTTCTTAATACTGCATTAGACAGGTGTAATATTATAGAAGTGTATGCCAATTCATTCATATTCTCTTTTTCTTCATTAGTCAAGTTTGCAGGAAAAGAGTCATCAATAGTTTTGGAAACTTTTTGTTGAACAAGAATATCTTTCATTTTTTGCTGTCAAATTGAAAAATCTCCTTTACTATTAAAGACACCCAACTTAAAGTGATGTGTAAACATTTTACCAAAAAATGCATAGAGCACAAATTCAGATATGTAAAAATCATAGGTCACATAGATTACGCGGAGTAACAAGATTCCTATGGTTTCACAATAATACGCTATTCTAGAACCCCAGGGTTTCATGAGAATCGAGTTCTTAGGGAAGAACTAGAATAGGAGTTCAGGTACAAGTCTAAAATAATACGAGATAATGCAACAATGTTCAACAAATTAATCTAATGACGAAGAAATAATTTCACTTAGAAAATTAAACAGATAATGACAAGTAATCCTAAGTTCTATCAACAAGTAATGGTTGCCAAGCAGTGACAACCTCCAATCCTAATGATCATCCTACATGATGATCTGCTAGTGCGATAATGTAAAGTTTCAGCCAATTTACAATAGCGGACTTGTCCAAGTCCGTAAATTACGAGAGATGCGAACTTATTGCTTTAGGGCCGCAATTTTGGCCTAAAGTAATTCAGTAAATATGTGGCAATTTTGACCGTTGATCCACCAAGGGCAAAATCGTCCAACTTTTTCTGTGTAATTTGAAACAGAAAACTTTCAACACGAAAAATGTTAGAAATAATGTGTGGAACAAACCACCTGAAGATAGCGTCCCCAAAATCGACCCGACGCGCCCTCACGCACCGTCGCCTGGATCACGCGCTATACACCCAGCACCGCCTCCACCTACACGTCTCAACCCTGGTCTCTATTTCACCAATGGACTTCTGGATTGACGGAAAATCGTGTTTGTAGGTACGGTTTTTGTGCAAAAATCTGGGCAGTTCGATTTTTCTGTTTTCTGCCGGTTTCTGGTCGATTTTTGGCCGTATTTTCACCACCACCAAGCTCTAATACCAATTGTTGAGCAAACCCACCTACAATTCAAACAAAACAATTAATTAGTTTAGGATTTGCAAAGGATTAAAATCAAGAACCAAAAACTGGAAAATTGAAGAACGACTTCCCCCTTCTAAATTAGGCTCAAAAATTTGATTCACATCACAAAGGTATCTCCAATTTGAAGGTTATAATTAGTCACAAAGACAGATTCACAAAGAAAAGTGGAGGAGGTTTTAATTTTGCACAAAGCAAAGAGTTTTTTTCTCGTTCTTGGGTGGTGTACAAATGAAGAGAAGAGTCTTCAATTTATAGGCTTCACAAAAAACGACTTTTCCACAAAATCTTGCAAGATTAGGTTAAATCAAAATTGCAAGATTATATCAAAACTGAAAGATAGAGCTCAACAAAAAGGGGATAAAATGGTTGAAAAAAGATAACGAAAATATTTATCTATCTTTAATGTGATTTTCAAATTACCTCCAAATTGGGTATTGAGCATCTAGCCCAATGGGCTGATTACCTCTAAATACCCAACATAATTGGGCTACTTCAATTGTGATGTGGATTTAATTCTTCAATCCCGGACTTATAGCCTATGAAGTTATACAGGGCTCGGTTTTTCTTCATAGCTTAGGGGATTTGGACATCACTTACCAAACATGCCCAACACAGATGATGAATGGTCCATTGAAACTCGACCTTTAGAGGCAGAGGAAGATTGTCTCTGACATGCATTACGTCGGATATGTATACAACATTAAAACAAACAAAGACATGTTATAAAATTTATAAAAATAAAATAAAATATGAAACTTCATACACCTAAAAGTTCATAGGAGGAGAAGAGATTTTTTTAGGACAGCTGATAAAAATCGTTGCTTTAAACGATGCATATGTAGAAAGCCTATTTTTTTCGTATTTACTAACAGATTTTTATCTTAGCAAGTTTGCTAAGACTGTTGGGGTTTGTCAGCGGTGACCCTACTTGGCCAACTCAGTGAAAATGTCTTGACATCATTGTTTCTGACCCTTCTAAGCCATCGACTCTATGGCGTTTAATAAAGAATTTGAACTGCTTTTCCAGTATATAATTTTAGTAAATTAGAGTTTTTATTCTGTTTCAAGCTTGTGTTGGACATTTAAAAACTATAAGTATTTATCTTTTTATTTGTAGAAGTATACATTAGTAACTTAATACATGTACTCTAATGATATCATGACAAGTAGGTATGCTGGAAAAATAGAAAATAAGTGATGGACAAGTGTGTAATATTTGTGAATCTCTTGAAAATTAGTCAATGAAGCAAATATAATTAAATTTTTTTACTTATTCTTTTGAACTCGCCATTTAATACTTTTTTAATCTAAATGACGAGTTACAAAGTTTGTCATTTAACACTTTGAAACAATACCCATAACTTATACTGACGAGTGAAGAACATAGGCCAAAACTAAGTCAAAAAAGGTGATGTCGTAATGGAAATTAAAAATGAAAAAATCACATTAATAAGTATGTGTTGTGAAGTTACTTCGGTAAGATGACCTACCTGAGAGTGAAGAACATATCCCAATAAATAAGACAAAAAATGTGACACCAAAATAAATAAATAAATAAAAAATAGTATTATTTGGTAGTCATCGTGGCCATCTTCAACTTTCTAGTTTGAACATGTCATTTAACTATCTTTCAATCCAAAAGATGCATTGTGAAACAAGGACCTACCCCGATGAGTAGAGAACATACCTGAAATGATCCGAAAAGTTTACATCAAAGTAATAATTAAATCAGGTTACATCCAGAGGTGTAAAAATAGCTTGAAATTTCCACTTCCATCCACTGTTTTTGCTGAAGGCAAATCTGTAGCCAAGTGCAGGCTTGCAGCCTGAGAAGAATCGTATGGAAGAAACCACACCCTGCTACTGTTATCACCCCTGCTTGTTTAATGAATTTCTCAAAGAACGTGCCGATCCTAACTATAGGCGTGTAGGCGATCACCTATTGATCCACTTCGGTGAGGATCCAAAAAAAATTATTATTTTTTATTTTATCTGTATTTTTACATATATATAAGGTTCCATATTTGAAATTTGTCTAAGGTCCCCAATATCTCATGGCCGGCCTTGCTCAAAGAATTCGACCTTCAATGCCAATCTTGATGAAACTTTCAACACGATCCTTCAAGAAGGGTAAGTCGAAATATTAACTAAACATTACGACATGATCAGCATGCAAAATTCCTTGAATTCAATTTGTTGCATATCAGTTTCTAATGTTTTTGGCTGGTCAGAACAACAAAATTTATCAAGGCATCCCTGATTTGGTTCTTGACCCATTAAGACATAGCGGTTCCCCAGGTACGGCTCGCAACCCGGCACCACCGGGCACAAGTGACCCCTGGACAAAAATTGAATATAAGAAGGAAAGGATTTTCTCTTGAAATCTTTCCACATCATTGACCCGAATTCAAGTCTCATATATGAAGCCGGAAGGATTAATCTCTTAAAAGAGGGACGTTCAAGAAAAATAAGAAATTTGAGTGGTAATGTCGGCTGAGAAAAACGATCCCCTATCACATTCCGTGCATGTTATGATTAAGTTAGTCAAACAAATTTTTTACCCACACTTTGTGAATTCATCTCATTATTTACACATTAATCACTATCAAAGAAGCATCAAGGAGTGAGACATTCTTTCTGATCATATTTATAAGCTAAACTAGACAAACCAAAGTGCAGAATTCCAATGTTTTTTTATTGAATGTTCTCTATGACAAGAATGATTCACGTAAACAAGAAATTGTTAGCTGGCTGAATCGCAAGAAAACTTCAGCAATCTTTCATTCATATTTGACATGAGCAAAGTCATGGTAAAACCTCTCAGATTGCTCATGATAATGAAGGATCTCAAAGTCTAGGATTCAGTCATCAGAAATTCAAAGATCCATGCTCAAATGCTCCCAAGATTACACACATTTCTCAGTCTCTCACAAACTATTTCATACCTTTACCATCTAGATTAAGTCAATTAAAATGTAACTTGACTATGTTTTCAAGTTCTAAGATCCTTGCAGCAGCTCCATCATATAAAACCAAGCAACTTAAAGTAGCTTGAAATTTCCTGTACCATTGACAAGCCCACTAATCTTCTTTGAAGCAGCAGCCAATGTATCCTCGCTTTTGCAGAATGCAAATCTGATATATCTTCTCTGGTAGCCAAGTGCAGCCTGAGAAGAATCCTCCGCAGATAAACTGGTATGGAAAAAACCGCACCCTGGTACTGCCACCACCCCTGCTTGTTTAATTAGTTCCTCCACGAATTCAACCTGCAATGCCAGTGCCATTGGAGCTTTTTATCACTATCTTCATTTCAAAATTTCATCCAACCATGATAAACATAAGAAATTTTGCAAACTCAATTTGTTCTTTTTCTTCTATTCCTTTTGGTTGGTTGGAAGAACAATATATGCAAGGACAACCATGATTTGATTCTTGGCCCATAAGACATTGTAAATAACCAAAGCAACCTGGCCAAGATTTAAAAAGGGAAAGAAGACGATGAAAGAAAGAAAATAATTTACTCTGATTGGGGCCAAATTTTCAAGTGGAAGATGAAATAGCCAATGATTGGAAATTGTTGAATTAATTTTTGGTGATCCAACAAGTTTAGTAAGCCCAATGCAATACACGAAGTATTCAGGAATATATGAATAGATCCGTCAAGAATAGTACTTACCAGCAAAAAGTATGCTAGTTTGGGAACACTCAAATTGTAAAACGTGACTTGAAAAAAAAAAAAAAAAGGAAGAAGAAGAAAAGAAAGAGTAGCTACATTTTAAAAATGCACAACCAATTAAGGGATTGGGTAAGCAATGTAACTATTATCAATACTTTGGACCGACTGGCTACTTTTACATAGAGGAATGTAATATAAGATGAAAACATTCAAACGGGTATGACCAATAACAGTATAGTTCTGCTTGCTTATATCACTTTAGTAGGGAAAAAAAAGAGTAAACTAATATCTTGAAGACTCTCCAGCTATTAGCAGCTATGATCATGTTTGGCTATGTTTAAAAGTAACAACTTTACTGTCAAAAAGGTAAGATTTTCTACTGAAAATCCAAATGATAAAGTTGACTTTTAAAAAATCTCAAACTTGTTTCGCAAAAATTACTAAAAAGCAACTTTTAAGCTTAGTCAAGCATGTATATCCAGAAAAGTAAGTACTTACATCAGAAAGAGTGCAGCTCCCGGGAAGAGGTGCAAATACAAAAAAGGAACCCTTGGGCTTAAATTGCATCTTGAAGCCAACCTTTTCAAGCATGTCAACTACGAAATCTCTTTTCAATTCATAGTCCTAAGCACAATGAATAAATGGTCATTGACAACTTCCATCTATAACAAATATGATGAACTATCATAGAGCAGGCTATAGATTGCATTTGAAGTATATGGATTCGAATTGAATGATGAATATTAATTGTGACAGATTTCAAATCTTGGGATGACAAATTCACTTGAATAATATAAGCATTTCGCTAAGCATTTAAAATCTAGAGTAATAAATAAAAAATTAGCTATAGATGAAGATAATTTCAAATTAACTCCAATTTTTGATGGATTTTAAATCAATCATCAACAACCTATCATGCTCCTTATGAGTTGACTAAGATGTGAAATTCATAGTTCATTGTTCCCAATCCTTCGATTCGGATGAATTCTTAATTCTTCAGAATCTTACTCTTCTCAATGAATCAAAGTATGCATGCGGACTCATCAAAGCAGTCAAAGCAGCTTCCTGGAAAGGTGCAGGAGCAGAATCTGTAATTTTAATATGAATGTTTCTAATAGCAGAAGCAATCCAAGCTGGGGCAATTGCCCATCCAATTCTCCATCCTAACAATGTTATACAATTGAATAGAGTTTATCTTGTCATTTAAATTAACATAAACTCTTTTTTGGCAAACATAATAAAAGGCTTCTGGTTTCCAAAGCAGAAATTAAACTACAAAGGTAGAATGAGCGAACTTTAGATAGTTTACACATTTATACCAGTTACACTAAAAGTTTTTGACAAGGAAGATGTCACAATGGTCCTCTTCTGCATTTCCGGTAGTGACGCAAGTGATATGTGACGTTCCTTGTCAAAAGTAATATGCTCATACACCTGTGCAACCAAATAGATAAATAATTAAAGTTGCAGGGAAGGAGGAGAAGGAGAAGAAGAAGCAGCGTTGATGAAGAGAAAGCAATATGGACATATATGACTTCCTAAAGCCACACCATTTGGTTGCTTGACATATTACATCAGAAAGAAGATGCATGCTAAAATTTGCATAGGGAGATGACAGATTTTTCTACCAATAAATGAACTGCATTCCAGTAAACTCTGGTATAAATTTTAAGCGTCAGATTAGAACCAAGCATCCAAAAAATACTGTGAGAGGTTAGACAGTCAGCATAGTTGGTTTATCTTAAAATAAGGAAAGGTTACTTTTAAGTAATTTTTTGTGTCCAAACAAGTTATTTTCTTCTATAATTTTTAAGCAAAAATAGTTACTTATTATGGAAATAAATCTTGCCTTATTGTTTAAAACAAGTAACTTAATTCCGATTTTAAGCTTAGCCAAACAAATGCATAAAGATGACTTTCTTCATGATTATTTTCTTTATATTTCAGTCATTTCTTCATTGTAAATTAGATAGCTCGAGCTTCTCCTCTGCCGTCTCCCTAATATATTTGAAAGACTTACTAACAAAAAACAACTACACATTAGAAAACACTATTTAATGTATGTTTGGTTTGGAGATATAACCAATAGCTTCCTTATTCTTATAATTCCTTACTAAAATGAGAATAAATCTTCCATTATCCTCTTAATAACACTCAGTTGAACAACAAATTTATCCAAAAAAATTATTTTTGCGACTAATAAACTTCGATAAAGATATGCTTAATTGTTCATAAAAGAAGTCATTATATCAGAAGATGATCAATATAAGCACACAAGTAGTGGATAACCAAAGAAAGTTGTGCACCTAGCTCATGTACAATAAGCAGCTGCAAATGTTTTTCGTACTTCATCTGTTACAGCTAAGATATTCCAGGTCTGGCAAGCTCCAGCAATGATCTCTAGCTCATCCTTGGAGAAAACTTTTCCAGTTGGGTTGTGAGGACTGTGTCATTAGTATTAGTATACTTGTAAAAGACAATGTCATTACCATAGAACTATAACTCATGATAATTCAACAGGTTTCTCTTCAAGAGTTTTAAGCACAACAGAACTTCAGAAATGAGTTTGAATTTTAAAAGAAAAAACTTGTATGATTATTGTCTGAAATCAATTCACCGTCTTATTACGAACTTTGCAATTTTAAGTTACCCATATACCTTAATTTTCCACTGCCTAAAACTCTATAAATTGTGTTTATCTGCTAATACAAAAGCCATGGGAGTAAGAACATAGTAAAGATACCTTATATATGATGCATGTCCAGTTCATAGCAAAAGAGAATCAACAAAAGGTTATCTATTTTTACCATTGCAACAAAAATATTAGAAATGTGAAGCTCTAGCATTAATATCAACCTTATTCCAGCCAGACAACAGTTACTTGTAAAAAAAAAAAAATGTTTATGATCTATTATTCATCATTTAAAAGAACGAAATTAATGTTGTACACCGTACCTATTCAAAACTACAGCTTTTGTCTTTGAAGTAAAAGACTTCTTTAGTTTATCAAGATCCAACGTCCAATTAGGTGGATCGAGAGCTACATATACCTGTCATTTTCCATAAGATAAGTGAAATTATAACTCCAATGCATTTATGAACTTTGCCTATCTTAATTTGTATACAATTATGAATTTCATGATGCTCCAAAAACAAAGTACTAATTAGATCGGCTTACGGGGATTCCTCCAGCCAGCCTAATACACGTTTCATATGTTTCATATGATGGATCAAATATTATCACCTCATCCCCCTGCTCAACTACTGAGGAAATGAAACAAAGACAAGCATGCATTATAAACACACCCTTAAAAGCAAAGAAATCTTTAAATTGATTAACTACGAGAATGTGCGACCCTTGAGACATTTTACTTGCAAACATGGTAGCCGCAAATGCCTCAGACTGCCCACAGCAAATAACTATATCTGTGAGGGGGTCAACATTCAGTTCTTGTATTTCCTTCATTTTACAGGCAACGTGATCACATATCCCTTGCACATGCCTGTGGCATCAATAAAGAGACATTGGTTACTCATAAGGTCCCTCATAATCACTGCCAGTTACAGCCTGTAGGAACTTAAGAAGAATATATACAAATAACAAATTCAAATTTTATTTTATTTTTTGTTCTTCAATAGGTACTCATTACATTAAGCCAACCTCCTTACCCAAACTCGAATCCGCAACCAATATATCAAACATGTGCATGAAATAAATCCATTTTCCTTGGACCCTCGATATTCTTGTCAATTTTTTCCACTTCATGTGAGATTAAAATCGTCAGTATAGAAAACTGATGTTCACTTCGAATAGTATTTTGAGGTCACTGATGTATAATCATGTATTTTTTTTATCGTGTTTTTAACCAAAATTTTCAATTAATTGGAATGATAGATTGTCAATGTTAGTTGGGACTTGTGTCCCAAAAGAGTACTCGTCAAGTATTTTCTTAATTTTTTATTGGTGTGCATATATCCCTGCTCATACTTATAATGCTTCCAGTCACTTTATATTTCACAGGGAGGGCGTTGATTTCCTATTTGGCAAGGAAAGCCACAAAGATGTAATAAGACATCTTTGGGTTGATATTTAGATTTGTACTTGTTCGAGTATCTGATAGACTTCATCGTGAGTATCATAAACCTCGTGTGGCACACTGGCACAGTGTATTTAGCGGTAGTTTATTGAAATTTTTTTAAGTTTCAGCCCATCCCAACATGTTTTTCGCTGTGATGAGCATGTTGGCTATGCTTAAAAAGAAGTAAATTTACTTATAAGTAAATAGTAACTTTTTAGTGATGAGAGTTGGAACTTAACATCACTGCTTTACAATGTATCCAATTTACTTACAAGTATAACTCTTCCGTGGTGAAAGTTGGAACTTAAAACGTAATCCAAAATATCATTGCTTTACAACTAACTCAAATTTTTGCTAAACTTAACACTTTTCTACTTCTAATGCAAAATTCAATGAAGAAATGAAAAATTGATGAAGAAAATGGAAGACCTGTACTGATTGAAATCGGAATTGATGGCCGAAACAGCCGCATTTTTTATTTGCAGAGGCGCAGGAAAATCTGGAAACCCTTCGGCGAGGTTAATGGCGTCACATCTTTGAGCAAGAAAAGATAGTTGCTGTATTGGAGAGGGTGTCAGAGTTTTCGCCACCGACGATAGCTTTTCTTCCATTTCTCCCTTCTTTCTGCTTCGTTATCTTCGAACTAAGCAAAACAAACAGAGCAGGTAGCGAGAAAGTTGACTTCTAAGCAAATAAGTATTTTTAAAATAATAATTTATTATGGGTCATAATCACTTATTCTGAAGGTAAGTCGGGGGTACTTTTAAGTTTGATCCAATCAAAGAACCTAAATTTCACTTTAACTTTCAAAATCATGAATATTATGACATTGACATCTTGTATGGTAAAAGACAAAGATGCCCTTAAATGTTTTGTATAATTACAAAACAATATATTGTTGAAAGGATTTTACTACCCTTTTAGTTAATAATTAAAAACCAAACACTTCTCCACTTATAAAAACTTCAAAACGAGCTTCCAACACAGAAAAAAATCTCATCTTTTCATCTACTTAAACCTCAAAATCTAGAAAAACTTTGAAACGTTGAAGCCGAAAATTCTTTTCATATCAATTACTTTAAATCGGTAAGTACATTTATGCACGTTTAAGTTTGTTTTCAATAAATTAGTATACGTTTGAATAGAGAAATTTTATGTTGACATAGTAGTTAGCATAAATTTTTTTAACAGATCTTACTTATCAAAAAAAATAAAATTGAACAGATGTATAATATTTTTCTTTAGAACCGTAGAAGAATTCCTGCACAAAAACAGCCAAACAGCCGACTGTTTGGCTGTTAAACAGCCAATTAACACCGACTCTGCACTGATTTTAGTTGGCATTGATTTTTTCTTATAATGAATAAATGAAGTTGATTAAATTTATTTCTTCATGCAGATATGATAATTCCCATCTGTTATTTTGGTGATTTCGAATTGAATGAAAATAATCGGTGAGAATGGAGATGGACGAGTGACAGATGTGGTTGTATTGCAATTCCCATAACAGATAGTACATCATACTTAGAAATGTACAACGATTTATAAAATAAGCTGAATGTCGATCAATCTCAATACGTTATGCAATTGAAATATCTATTCAACGGTTATGGGGATTCATCCATTCCAATTCCACCGGTAGTCGTTACTAGTGATGCTGATTGAATTATCTATTAGAAATGAATAAAATGCATCGGATTCCGACTGATCTTGGTGTGACTTTAGTTAAGAAGGATGTTATCAAAGGTGAACGCGAAGATTCAAATAGGGCGGATAATAATGACCGAGATTTTTGGGAGACAGTGGAGATAGTTCCTGTGGATGATGTGGTTATTCCTGAGATAGTTGCTCCTGATCGTGATGTCGCTGTTACGCATAGAATTCCGTTGACAGTTGAAGACAATGAGAATATAAACGAGTTTACAAATGAGAATTTTATTACTTTATCCCGACAGAGACATGAGGTGGGTGAGCTCACAGGTTGAAACAAGTGGACCGTCCTCCAAATTCTTCCCGTATGGCTCCCGATGATGAGGACTTGCAGGTCGAGCAACTGTTTGAAACCAAGAAAGATTTGCAGGAAGTCGTGCACCGGCTGACATTAAAATATAACTTTGAGTTCAAGGTAAAGAAATCAAACAAGTCATTATTGATAATTGCCTGCGTCGAAGACAGTTGCAATTGGCGCTTGAGAGCAACTAAGATGGACACGAATGAGTTCTTCGTAATTCGCAAGTATTCACGGGAACATACTTGCGAAGTGGGAATTCTTCAAAACAATCATAGGCAAGCTCGAGCATGATTTATTGATCGACAGATAATGCACAAGTATCGAGACCCACGGACGATCTACAGACTTTCGGATATCATTAACGACGTCCGTCGAGAGTATGGAGTGGTCATAAGCTACTAGAAAGCCTGGAAGGTCAAAGAACGTGCGTTGGAGGATTTAATAGGATCGGCTGAAGAGAGCTATGCTAAATTGGCTAGGTATTGCCATAACATGGGGACAACTAATCCTGGCACGACATTTTTTATTGAGACGGGGGGCGATAATTTTTTTAAGTATTTCTTCATAGCTCTCGGACAATGTATTCGGGGTTTTCGAAATGCAATGCGACCCGTAATTCTAGTTGATGATACAACTCTGAAAGCTAAATATCAAGGCAAATTAATTATTGCTACATGTCAAGACGCCAACATCCAAATTTACCCTATTGCATTCGGCATAGTTGACAGCGAGAATAATCTGTCCATGCATTGGTTCTTTTCTAAACTGAGGGAAGTGATCGGGGAAGTCAAAGACCTTGCCTTTGTAACCGATCGGGAACAGTTTATAATAAACAGTATCGCTGAAGTTTTTCCAGAGGCACATCACAAGTATTGCATGTACCATATACAAGGTAATTTGAAGACTAGGTATCAGGGCACAGACATCGTTTCATTGTTCAGGAGAGCAGCCGAAACTTACAGTGCCGAAGAGTGTAATAAGTTCATGCTTGAGATAGGAAGTAAATCATTACCGGCGTTGGAGTATTTGACGAAGATGGGGATCGAACATTGGGCGTGGTCATACTTTCCAGGACGTTGATACAACATGATGACGTCGAATAATGCGGAGTCTCTCAATGCATTGTTTAAGAAGGATCGAGAGTTACCAATTCTCGCAATGATTGAAAACGTTCGTAACAAGCTAAAACAGTGGTTTCATGACCGACGTGCAGCATCACAGAGTTGCACTAGCGTGTTGGCCCCAGCTCAAGAGGAGAAACTGTTTAAGGCGGCAGATGTTGCGAGGAAGTTGAATGTGGAAGCACTAGATGAGTTTCGCTTCTTCGTGCAATGTGCACGTAATACGGCATATATGGTGGACTTGACTGATAACACATGCAATTGTAAGATATTTCAGTTGGAGAGTTTTCCATGTGAGCATGCAGTTGCGGTGGCCATATATCGAGGCTTTGCTGCGAGAATGTTATGCTCTTTATATTATACGACTGAGTCTTGGAGAACATCATATGCTGAGATTATATTTCCTCTGCCGAATGAAGCCAAGTGGGAAGTTCCTAAGCACATTCTCCAATTTCATAATTTGTTGCCACTAGCAGTTGAACCACGTGGTCCTGTCTAGAATACCATCTACCAGAGAGTTTCCTCGACCGCGTAGGTATGGCAGGTGCAGAGCCGTAGGGCATACTCGATAATTTTGTACCAGTCAAATTCTCCTAAATAATGATTAGACATGTAAGTTAAATGAATAATATTTCCTTTTACTTTGCACTATTTAATATTTATTCTTTATAAATCTTCGATGTTCAATATTTATTCTTGATAAATATTAGTTATAATGATTCATATGAAAAAAATAGTTCCATACTCGGCCTACATATAAAATAACAAAACAAAAAATATAATTAAATTTCCAATGTGAATGTTATATACATTGAACAGAAATTTACAATTATTTCATAATCACAAAAAATAATTAAATTTACAATTGAAATGTTACATATATTTAATACAAATTTACGGGTCAGCATTAAATTCGAACAAATCACATGCTAGTTTCTTTCTCCAGTTCTGTATCCACGACTAGTTGATTCCATCAACCTTATGCCATATATTTAAAAATTCAACGTACTTAATGGCAAATATGCCGCAGTCGCCACTGCAATTGAACAAGAATGAATCAATTCAGTACTGTGTAAGTAAAAATTAAATCTGAAAGATAAAAACAACAAAGTTCAAACACTTACTTTATGGACTGTCGCGCTGTCATCGTGTTCCGAACAATTCGTAATCTGTCCTGTACATTTATCCCCGCTTGTCTGGCCATCATAGGAACAATTACAGCCACGGACTCCAGGTTTTGCTCCTACTGGCCTTGTGTCAAACATGAATGATCTGGGTCGTACACATATATAGTCGAGTCAGTAAAAACGATCTCCAGCGTAACATAGTGTTTATTGATGCACGCTGGAATGTACATATGTGTACAACCTTCCATGATTTTCCCCAGTCGAGCATATATTCTGGCACCGTGTACTCGTTACCCATAAGTTTGAGTGACTGATACTCTATGGTAACGACACGCAAGAACTCAGTGTTTAATATGACTCGACCATGGACATCAAATGATTTTGGATGTCTTTGAGCTCGATCTCGTAGCAAGTCCATGGCCAGGTTGATGTGCTGCAGCAGGAAACACCAAAAAGGTATGAGTTATTCATTTAATAAACACAAAGTGACGTATACATAAAATACACGAAATGAATAATTCACTTACATCGTCGACGAGCCAAGCTCTCGCAATGGTGATATCGTGGAACCACTTGTAAGGGTCCGAGACCGTCCTTTGACCTATTGTGCGGCTAACTCTGTAAAAAACAGGGAAATGTTAAAATAAGCATAGACGAGTTAGCGTACAGTGCTTTATTAAAATCATACAATACTTACCCAGGGATACTTCTCCGCCACTCTGTCTCGAACACTTTCCACTTAGCATTGTCCACCTCCATGAATAAGTTCAGGTGTGTCCCATCGATGAATGTCCTCCTCTTGGCCTTAGCCGTGAAGGGGGAAACAACATACTGTGACGGCACTCTCAACCTCTTGCCGACCACTTGCTCCGTCTCGTCAACAACATGCCTCTTACCCTCAATCGCGCCGGGCGTCCTCTCGACCTCTGGGGCCACCTCCTCCGCCCCTCCCATCGGGGCCTCCCCCTCCGTCGCCACCACCTCCGCCCCTTCCGTCTGGGCCTCCCCCTCTATCGCCACCTCCTCCGTCCCTCCCGTTGGGGCCACCCCCTCCATAGACAACTACAATGACTCAAATGTCTCATCACGCCAAAAATATGGGTGACCCCCTTGTCGATCACCATCTCTGCCACCCTTTCAATCATGATCTCCGCCATTCTAAATCCCGCACAAGACCCCGAGCCCCCTCTTCCATCGACGGTGTCAACTCAGGTATGACTTCAAACTGACATATTGATATTTCAACTACTTAACAATCATGTAAACAGAATTTTAAATTACGTATAATATAAATCACAAATGCATAATACAACCTGAGGATCGTCGAGGAGGGCCGATAACTGTTTCCCTGTGGGACATCCCTCCGCTCGCGATGATCTCCAATTATGCATTCGAGGGCAGCATGTCTCCCTTCGCT